AACATGAATTAGATTATACTGAATATGACTGAAATTCTAAATTCGGTATTTTCTTCTTTGTTATTATTGTGAATAGGATCTCATTTTTAATTAATATTTCTAATCAGTTCAAAGGAATTAAGCTGTGTTTTGAATATACACTGAATCTTATATTCATCCACTTTACTCAACTGTTTTATTCATATAAAGCCTCCGCATGGCTACAGTGGCCAGACGATCATTTTAGGTGGCTGGGGTGAAGGTGGGACTCATAGGGCTTCCGGTTTTGCTACTATTTTAAATAACAATGTCTGCTTTGCATTAAAGATAAAACAAGCTCTGTTTTAAATAGTTCTGTATTATGTTATTGTAATATATTTCTATTCCTCTTTTTTAAAATGAAAAGTGACTATTGAATTTTATCAAGTGCTGTTTCAGCATCTGTTGAAATCATCACATTTTCATTATTTAATCCAGTGAATTGGATGATATTTTATTGTTATTATTAATAATAGTTGCCTTTGTGTCAAACCCTTCAGTCATTCTTGGGAGCCTCTTTGGCCATAAATAAATATTAATGAAATTTGTGTATATTTTAATGTGAGATTTGTGGGTGGCTTTGATCTATAGGTGAAGATTCCCTAGACTGTGCTTCTTCCTCTTTTTATCACTATTATCCCCCTAATAAGAATTTCTTTCCTTAATTGTCCCCCATGTAATTTCAATTCCACAGATACACTGTCTATCTGTATACTGTTTGTATATCTGCACTTCCTACATAAAAGAGAGTAAGATTCTTTAGCCCCTTCAAGAACCAAATTGCTCCATTGGAATGCATGGAGCTGTCACCCCATTGTGAATGCATGGCCTATAGTATTCTTTGTTTGTATATTACCTTTATTAGATTTCAGGATCAGGCCCTGTGTATCTTCCCATCTCGGAATGAACTATGCAATAGGTCACACTTTTCAAGGTTCAGAAACAATGTATGGAATAGTAAGAGCTGCTTTAAGTAAAGACCAAGTCTGTTCATCAGCTCCTCTCTGACATCCTAATAAAAACAGACCAAGAAATACATTTGACCTTTGTCATCACTAACAAAGTCAGCCCCAGGGCCTTCCAATTCCAGTTCAGTCCGTTCCTAGAGAGACTTTGCCAGGCAAGACTTTGTAAATTGTAGCCCACAAGCTCTTTTCTTCACAGCATCAATCTCAGGCCCTTCAGCATGTGGATCAGAGTATTTGCAATACTTAGTGGATAAGACAGGTTATAGGACAGGAGAGGAAACCAAGGGGTGAGGGCCTAGAATGTCATTAGACCCCTAAAGCTGTATGCATTGCTTAGCAGGAGAACATGGCAGCCATGGAGAACAAGACTCCATTGGGGCAGCTGCTTGTAAAGCCAAGAAGTGAAGCCAAGGATTGACAGTACAGTAGCTGGGTTTGAACCCAGAGAGAAGAAGTGGAGGGCAGAGGTTGGAGTCACCAGCTGAGCTGTAGATTGGGATGTTGCAATAGGTATTAAAGTACACAAGGGTGAGAGCCCCAGGCTCTGTTCTCAAAGGCTTATATTGCCTGTAGCACATGCCTCTTTTGGAGCTTCTGTCCTGTCTTAAAGGGCTAGAACTCCTTGATTTCCATTTTTCAAGGGAGGTAATTAGTCTGGGAAAGTTTGGGAGGATTTAGTATTCACCCATATTGTGGTGGACACACCCTAAGGTGACCTCCAATAAATAACACTCCTGTATAATAATCCCCTCCCGTTAGATGTAAGTGGAACCTTGTGACTTGCTTCTAACTAGTGTATCATGGTAAAGGTGATGGGGTGTCACTCCTTAATTACATATGATAGATACAGATATAGCTAGCTAGCTAGCTAGACAGACAGACAGACTGGAGAGATTCTCCTGTTGACCTTGAAGAAGCAAAATGCCATGTTGTGAACTGCCTATGGGGAGGGTCACATGGCAAGGAGCTGCAGGTGGCCTTAGGACCTGAGGATAGCCAACAGTTAGTAAGAAGCTGGGGCCTTAGGCAAACAGCCATAAGGAAATGGATTCTGCCAACAGCCAATAAGCTTGGAAGCAGATTTTTCCCATCAAGGCACCAGATAAGAACACTGTATAGTTAACACCTTGATTACCACCTGTGAAACTCTGAGCCAGGAATCCAGCTAAGCTGTACCTGGGACTTCTGAGCCAGCAAAACTGTAAGATAATAAATACGTATTATTTTAAGCTGCTGGATTTGTGGTAATTTGTTATACAGCAACAGAACACTGTTGCCATATATGTGTGTGTGTGTGTGTGTGTGTGTGTGTGTGTGTATATATATATATATATATATATGATCGATCTATATCTATATACCTGGACACTTCTGGTTGAGTAGCTTTCTAAATTTCTTTCTCCCTCCAAGTTATTGTTCTTTTCACTCATATGTTCAAATCTTATTAGCAAATGCTTTTGTGTTCTATTCTTATTTTTAAATTTTATATATTGGTTGGTATCTCCTTTCTCAATTCAGATTTTATTGAAATGCCTTTACTTTTCAAATACTTAGCTTTTGGTTTTATTTACTGCGTCCAGAGAAATTATTTTTTACTTTCAAAATGATTTCCTTCTGCTTTTATGGTTGTATTTTCTTCTTCCTCTTTAGTCTGGCTTGTCTTTTCCTTCCTTTTCTCATATTGTCAATTGAATTCTTTCTAAAATATTCCCTTTTATCAACCACCAAAAAAGAGAAAATTTTAAATCATAAAATTTCCTAAAAGTACTGCTTTGACTACATTCCACAGAGATTACTGTGGCATGTTTTAACGAGCATTGTTTTCTGAATAAACTCCTTTTGTGTTCTTTATTTCCTTTCCAATTCAACTGTTGACTCAGTAAGTATTTTTACATTTCCAAGTAGTTGGTTTATTTTTATTTGTTTTGGTTGTTACTTTATATTTCATTCTATTTTGGCCAGAGAACATAGCACATTTCATTTCTGTTCTTTTGGAACTAGTAGAGATTATGTCTGTGGTCTAGCATGTGGTGTATGACACCATATGGGCAATTGCCATGGACAGTTGGAAATTATACATAGTACAAGATATCCATTAATTCTGTCTCTAAGTGATTTTTTTCTCAAGGGCTGGGACAGTCTCAGGAACTAAAGCGAGAGTTGAGGAATATCTAAAACTGTATTAGCAGGGGGACTCTGGTTCCAGGCTGAGCTGGGAAGGGCACCACTCAAGGAGCCTAGGAGTGTGTTGCTGAAATAGAGGGGGAATAGTTAAGAGAATAGCTGGTGCGACAGGCCAGAGAGGTGGAGAAATAAGGTGTCACATGCACAGTGAGGCAGGTCCAACAGTAGACAAGCAAAGACGTCAAAGAGGAGATAAGGAGTGAGCGGTGGATCTCTCTGGCATATTTTGGGGTGGCATTTTCTGCTACCCTTCAAGGTCAAGAACAGCACACTGTAGGAGAGCCTGAAGTTAGGAGGAGCCGGAACACTTGTTAACTTCCACAACCTCTGCACTGGCCCTGGAGGCCTGCCAGACTTTACCTTACTTAGGAAAAATACTCCATTTGATTAATCTGCCATATTTGCATTTCTATTATTATGCAGTTGAATTCAAGCCTCACTGAGGATAGGACAGTAAAATCTCTTACTATAATTGTTTTTCTAAAATGAAATTTTCTTGTATTTATGCCCATTTTTGCTTTCTGCATTTTAGAACTATATTTTAGGGTCATATATATTCAATGTTCTTAATATTTTATTATTAAATATGTCTTTTCTATTATATGATGATCTTTTCATTCTTTTGAATACTTTTTCCTTTTATTTGGTAGGCAGTGAAAAGCAAAAAAAATTTTTCTCATAGAAGAGAGTTAAAAGTTCTGATTGTCGTTAGTTAGGACCAAATGTAGAAAAGGAAATGTTTATTGTTTGTTTTAAGTTAATTGCCCATTACTGCTAAAAAAAAAAAAGAAATATGACTTACCACACATACTTACTTGCAAGATACAAATAAGCAAAAGACATAATGGAAAAGAGATAAGGAAATATAAAAATTAAAATAAAATATGAACCCAGGAAATGACTAAACATGATAGTAAGTGAATACAGTCAAAATTCTTCTACTGTATACAAAGCACCCCAGTTCAGATCGAAAAACAAAATCCGTTAGTAAATTATGAGGTACACTCAAAGGTTTCTTAAAAGAAAAAACCTGGAAAGTTAGATGACTATTTCTATCAAAATCAAACAGAAAGAAGGGAAAGGAGGATTTCTAGAATCATGAGTGGCCTCTGAGGGCCCCTCATCTCCTCAATCCGGTTCTCCCACGGAGAGGGGGCCACTGCCCCGAAATGCCTCGGCTCTAAGGTGTGCTGTCAGGGGTCCCTGGAGGCTCCCCTTGTAGTGCGTACAAACCTCAGTCCACCAACTCAGGTGAAGGAGAAACAGAAGCTTCTCTGTTTTCCTTGATGCAGCTGAACTTCTAGTATAGTCTCCCAGGCCATCAAGGTGTCCCGATTCATCCCAGCCATATACGGTCCACCCCCTTTTCCTCTGGGTGTCTAGTTCTGGTGGACTTCCTGTGGCATGAGGATTGCACAGCAGGTGCTCCTTGGTTGCTATGGGGACGCAGCGTCCCTGGGGACTGGGCGCCCCTCCACTGCTGTGCTGCTCTTGAGTGCATGCCAGGCTCTGTCTGCCTTGACACACTGCACACCCCTTCCCTTCTATGGGGTCTTGGCACCTCTCTGAATGGGATTCTATGTGGAAAATGAGGCACAGGCCCCCTGGTCTCAGATCCTACATGTTCATTCAGGATTTTGCTCTCTCCCTGGGGCTCTACTCAGGACACAGGTCCCCGAACCCTCTTGTCCATGATCCACTAACATCTAAGATGGGGGTAGCAAACAGTCTAGATCCAGTTCAGGAGGTTTTTATCTGGCTCAGACAGTATTTAAAGATTCTTTTGAAAAGATTATGAACATCTTTTAAAATGAGAGTTTTGGCTTTTAGATCCAGCTACCAATTACAGGAAATGCAGAAGACAGAGGAAGTATGTTAAATGACACCAACAAAATCCAGACTGTGGAACACTCTACATGATAAAGGACCTGGCTTCATTAACAGATACGTCGCAAGAGTCCAAAGGGTGGGGAGCAAACCTAGAGATGAAAGGAAACTTAAAAACATCAGTCACTTGCACTGTGTGGACTTTGGGTCCTATTTCAAACAAACTATAAAAATAAAATAATATAAAGTAAACACTTATGACCACCACGAGAAAACTGTAAATTTTAACACTGACAGGCTATTTGATTGGAAGTTATTGGAGTTTATTTAGTGATGATGTTGTGTTATGGTTTAAAAAAACATGAGTTCTTATCTTTACAGAGAAAATGATGAGTCTGGGATTTACTTCAAAATCATTCAGGACTGGGAAAGGGTGGGGTTATAGAAGAAACGAAATTAGCCATGAGTTGACAGTTGTTGAAACTCAGTCATGGGTACAAGGAAGTTCATTATACTAGTTTGCCTAATTTTACATATGTTTTGAGATTTGCCATAGTGACTTTCTTTTTTCTTTTTTTTGAAGGAGACCTTCCACATAAAAATTCTGATTTTGGATTCTTTTGGAAAAATGGAAATACCTGGTAACACTAGCCCAGACCTCCACCGTGTAACAACCAGCCAAATTGAGAAGTGTTACAGGAACATGCCGTCCAGGGAACCACAGACCCCACCACTCCCTGGTGCCCTTAAAGCCCACTTCCTGTATCTGTGCTTCCGCCTCAACATCAGCCTCTGGTTTGCAATCCATAAGAACTTTCCTTTCCTTCCTTCTGGGCCTTCACTCTCCTTCACTGGGCCCAGCCATCACGGGTCAGGTCGGGCTGGGCCAAAGTGGGTGCTTGACTTTCCCTTCCTTTTCATGATGTTTTTCTACCAAATCATTTTTCTGTGCTCTGAAACCTTTTTGGTCCCCCAAGAGTGGAGGATTTTGAAACTCAAAAGCCAGAAGGAGACACTTCTCCCTCCTCCATCCCCTCTGGGGCAGTGCTTCATATCACATCCCTTCCCTGAGGGAGTGCGAAAGAACAGCCTGAGGCTTTAAAAGGGGAAACAGCAGACCAGGATGGGAAGGAAACCAGGGGGGAAATTTGGTTAAGAAGGAGATATGGCTCTTAGACATATCAGATTTGCAAATATTAAAAAGTTGGATGATATCAAGTGCCACCAAAGGTGAAGGAAAGCAGAATATCTCATAGGAATGTTAACTAATCTTTCTGGGAAGCAGATTGAAAGTGTTAAGTGATGTGGAATATGGGCCACTCCTACAACCCAGTACTTGGGGACGCTGAGCCCAGAGACATTCTTGCCCGAGCCCCCAAAGAAACATGTGTGGATTTGTTCTTGTAGAATTGTTTGTAATAATGAAGATTTGGAAACACCTAGAAGTTTATTCATAGGAAAGTAGTTACATAAAAGGTTATATGAAAATGCTGAGTACCATTCAGCAGATGAAAGGAATGCTCTGGTCCATATTTACTTATATTAACTTGGAGCCATCTCAAAATCTCATAGTCTTGACTGGAAAAAAGTGAGAAAAGAATGACATGTTTACCAAAGACTACTTAAGCATATTTTTAAAAATATGCACAAAATAATACCAATATTGGGCCTAGATACACATAGAAATATAGATTGGCCAGACACAAAGAATCACAAGGACGTAAGAGGAGAAAAATGAGATTGGGGATGGGGTGAAGGGGTCAAGAAAATAAAGTAAAATAAAAGTGAGCCCTGCATATGCTAATAAAGATGGTATGCATGTGGCTAATTGATCCTGAGCAAAGGAGGTCTCGGCAAACAGAAAACTACAGCAAAACAAAACATCAGTTAATGTTTAAAATATTAACCTGATGCCTGTGGAAAGAGAACTCTGTGAATAACCGGAGGTCTGATGAGTGCCCAGAGGTGACCGAGCAGTCCTGCAGTCCCTGTGATTCCCTCCGACTGATCTCCTGCTGGGGTCACTCCATAGCTTGGCCTTGAGTTGCTTTTATCCACAGACTTTCAGCCTCCCAGCACCGCTGACTACTCTCAGGAAAACTGTTGGATCACGAGATTTTCCCACAGAGATCGTCACCATGGGGTATTTTCAACCTGTTATTAACCTCAAGTTCCTCCAGCAAAGTCAGGATATCCCGGGAACAAGTACTCCTCCAGCCCCTGAAGCCTCCTTTTTAATGCGCCTTCAGTACCCAAAACTTTCTCAGACAGAGTGTTATATGAGGTCCAGCTTTTTTTGCTTGGGGTGTGGAGGACAGAGGTGAGCGGTTCTGGCCAGCAGCTCTGTTTCCCCTTGAAGCCCCACTCTTGGGGAGCGAAAGGGAGAAAGAGAGACAAGGAGCTATTTGCTGTCTCCCTAATCCATCCTTCTCTCTCTTCCTCTTCCCCTCCCTCCTTTCCTTAGAAACATATATTCAGTGCTGAGTGTGCACAAGGCACGTGGCAGCCCCCATTGAATCTGGCATTGTCCCCTGCCCTCAAGGAGAGTCAAGTCCGGGGGGGGCAAGCGGTGAGTGTGGTCAAGCATGGTAGGGATTTGTGAGGGGCGAGGGAGCTATGAGACCACAGAGGCGGGCAGCTATATCACATGGGAGGCTTCTTGGAGGTGGTCCTCCTTGAGCTGAGTCTGAAAGGGTAAATAGAGGTAACAAGAAGGAGAATAATGGGGGAAAGGTATTCTATTGCAATGGCTGGGAGGCATGAAACAGCAGGACACAGAGGGAGCTGTCAGCAGTTCATCATGTCTGGATTTGGGGCTCTGGAAGAGCCTTGGGTGCTAGGACTTCGCTCATGTTCTATCTCCTCCCTGAAGCCTGCAGAACTGCCCCAGTCCTGCCAGATCCCCCTCCTCTGAAATCTTGGACCAACCTTTTATAATTGCATGTTCCCCTACTGTTGTGTGTGTGTGTGTGTGTGTGTGTGTGTGTGTGTGTGTGTGTGTGTGAGAGAGAGAGAGAGTGAGTGTGAAGGTTTTGTTTCCCAGTCTCAGCTTGGAGAGGGGCCCACAAGCCCAGGGTTTCTCCCACCCAGTGCCTTGCATCCAGCCTTCACCCCACCGAGAGGGTGGCTCACCCAGTTCCGAGTGGATGTACTGTTCAGTGGGGAAGCAGACTGAGGCGGTGGTAGCAGCACCAAATCCCACATCGTGCGTTGGGTTTTCAGCCTGAGCGGCTTCTGTAGGGATATGTCTGACCGGGCTGTCATCTGGGCCAATGCCCAGGTGAATGTTCTTCTCAGAGGGAGACCTGAAAGCCCTGGTGTTCAGCCTCTCAGATGGTGCCCAGTGAGCCCCACCTCCCGGTTTTCATGGTCTTGTGCAGTCTCCTCCCACATTGTGTCAGGATTGATCGGTATGACCAACAAAATACAGCAGATTGATGGCATATGCCTTTGAGGCTAGCTCAATAAAAGACACTATGACTTCTGTATTAGTTTCTGTCTTGGACTGCTCACTCTGGAAGAAGCCAGCTGCCATGTTGTCAGGACACACAAGCAGCCCTATCAAAGGTCCATGTGGTACAGAACCAAGGCCTCCTGCCAACAGCCATGAGAGGAGCCATCTTGCATGTGGACCCCCAGCTCCAATCAAGCCTTCAGATGACAGCAGCCCCGTTCAACATCTTGAGACCTTGAGCCAGAACAACCCAGCTCAGGTGCTTCCAAATTCCTGACTCTTAGACTGTTAGAGATGATAAGTGTTTATCATTTAAGTCATGAAATTTGGGGTAATTTGTTACATAGTGATAGATAACTAACACAAAGCACTCGGCAATACTGTGTGGCTTTTCCTGCTATGGGTTTGGGGGTTTCCTGGCTGGGGTTTTGCCTCCTCTGACAGCAGAAATATGAGGGCTCCCAAAGGTCACAGCCACTCACCCCATTCCTTCCTTCCACAGGTGCTTCCCTTGATGGGACCAATAGCCCAGCAGCAGATGCAGAAGAACTCTCCTCTGAACTTTCCTTATCTGCCTGGCACAGAACATGGAGAATCAGCAGCCACCACCCCACCTCCACCCTCCAGCTGGTCTCCAGTCAGGGAGGCACCGACCTTGGGCATCAGGACATTCCCAAAGAAATTGTGTAAACAAGCCTCGTCAGAGCCTTCCATCCTTTGAAGCCCTCCCCCTCCCCCACCCGCTTTTGTTAAGTTGGTATATGAACCTTTGCCTCTGGTTCCTCAGTGAGTTACTCATTACACAGTGCTCCTGCACTCAGTGTGTGCATAAACTTTGTCTTTTCTCCTGTTAATCTAGCCCCTACCCCCAACCCTCGAACCTAAATTGGTAGAGAAAAAAGTTTTTCCTCCCGATACTCTGTAATCAAAGGAATCCCCAGGGGAAGCTCTGGAGCCCTTTGCACTGAGTTTGCTCTCTGGTCACGTGAACTTTCCTTAAGAACAGCCACCTCTGCAGGGCAGCTGCCCCAGGGAGTCTCAACCCCACACCCCAGCACAGGTGGCCAGGGGCCCCCAGAAACACAACTGCTGGACCTGAGGTCACAGCAAGGGCAAACTCTGACTTACAGAAGCTGCATCTCCTGGTCTGTAGCAGCTTCTTTTCAGATTTTGGCTTATTTAGCAAACACTTAGTGCTTGCTCTGTGCTAGGCTCTGTTTTAAGTACATTAAGTCATTTAATCCTCATAACAACCCTATGAGGTCAATGCTATTGTCTTCATTTTACAGATAAGAATCCTAAGGCACAGAGACGTTAAGCAATTTGCTCAAGGTCACACAGCGAGTAGTAGCAGCATAGGAATTCACACATGGGCAGCCTGGCTGTGCACTCTGTCCTGAGGTAAGAATTGTCCATTCGGTGATCATTCTGTGCCACTGGGGCACTGTTTCTCGGCCAGGGCTCCTGGGGCTGGACAGGGTTATGTGTTTGAGTTCTGGCTATAGGGAATCCAGAGGTCCACCTCCCAGCTGGGCATGGCCTCCTGAGGAAGCCAGGCTACATCCTTACTAGGGAAAACCACAGGGGTTTACCTTCTGAGGTCAACCTCTGTACTCAGTCCTGAGGGTCTGCCTGAGGCCTGCCTGGGGCAGGAGGATATCCTCTCTGACCACGCTCATTCTTGCCTTCTCCCCTTAGCTCAGCCAGGCACCTGCGGAGAGACCCTCACACTTCCCCGTCTGCCTACACCAGTGGTTCTCAACCAAGAGCAATTTTGCCCCCCGAAGGACATGTGGTGATGTCTAGAGACGTTTTTGATTGTTGTGACCGGAAGGCTGCTACTGGCACCTAGTAAGTAGAGGCCAAAAATGGTGCTAAACGTTCTGAAATGCACAGGATGAGGCCTCACAACAAAGGGATTACCTGGTCCAAAAGGTCAGCAATGCCGAGGTTGAGAAACTGACCGGGGCCCATCTCACAGCCTCCTTGAGGCTGAGGACCCTCCACCACACACACATACACACACACGATCTGATTTCTGTTACAGTGGTGGTCCAGGGTCCTGGGGGTGGGGGCAACATGCATCCTCACCTCAGCATCTCTTAGAGGCCACCTCAGAACATGAAAGACTCAGTTTGCACTGCAGCTACAAGTTTTTGGAAATAAGAATTTTGAGGCACTGACAAATGTAGCTGATGTTCTTTTGTATCAGGCTCTGTGCTAAGTAAGCATTTCACATATTTTATCTTAGGAAATCTTCATAAACCAGTCTTAGATGCTATTATTATCCCTATTTCAAAGATTGGGAAACTGAGGCTGAAAAAGGTTAAGGAACTCACCCAAGGTCACACAGCTAATAGGTGACAGGGCCAGGTTTCCAGCTGACCCATGCAGACCGATGGCACAGATGTACATACCCAGGCAAAGTAAAGATAGCAAGTTTCCAGGGAGAGCCCACCTGATGCCCACCCTGGGCCTGCCGGAGGCCAGGGGTTTGGTGCCCTCCCCTGGGACGGAGGGATCCAGCACCACTCCACTGCACAGCTGCAACCAAGACTCTCCGAGCTGGGCAGAGAGCAGCTTGACCTGCCATGGTTCTTAAAGAGGGAGGAGTGGAGAGAAGGCAGAGGTGGGTTTGTTTTGTACAGGGACAGTAAAGACAGAAAACCCACAGGGAAGAGATGGGCGAAGAAGCCAGGCTTGGGAGCTCTTTATTATTTACTGTAGCAGGGGAAAGAATGGGAAGCTTCTTTCTAAGCCATAAATGCCGTCCTTTGATCCCCGTGCCTATCAGAGATAAATGAGTCACTTAGGCCTCAGAAATTAATGATTGTTCTAATTATTACCTTAAGTGACCTTCCAGCAGTAGTAATTCTCACCACTCCCTGCAAAGTAGCTGTGTCGGGGTTTGACCAGGGTTGGGGAAGAGGCTGGACCGAAGTGGGGAGAGTTCCTTTGGTGACTGGGCTCAGTTTGCAAAGAGGAAATCAGCCTCAGCTCTTCAGGCCAGAGAACAGTTCGACCCAGACCCCAGCTTCTGGGCTCTGCCTTCTTCTTTGCCTTCAGGGCCCTGTTGAACCCTGACCCCACTGAGAGGGTTGGACCAGAAGTGTGTGCAGAGCTCCAGGGCCACCTGAAAGCAAGAGGTCGTTTGGTGCAAAGTTAACACGACCTTCCGCAGGCCCCTTCCCATTCAGATTCAAGGAAGAGCTTTGAAGTTTCCTTTGTGTGCATGTTTTCATAGCCCTGATCCTGCTGTACTGGAATTAGCCTGCAGCCCTGCCCATCCCTGGAGATTTATTCCCCAGCTACAAAAATCTTAGAAAAATACTGCAAGCTCCACCCAGCATCCCCAAGCCACTGGCTGCTTTTTCCTCAGGCTAAAATACAAAGGAGACCTCAGAACCGCCACCAGGAGACATTTTGTACGTGTTTATAGTTTCTCTAGAGTCATTCCGATGACCCCCTAGAACCGGATCTCGGGGCAAAAGCTTCCAAGATGTGCGTGCTGGGAGGTGGGGCGAACGTGGTAAGAGGAAGGGTGAGAGAACAGATTGTCCCTGAAGCTGCCAAGGGCCAGGGCAGTACCAGCAGGGTCCAAAGAGAAGAAAAAGCAGGTGGACTGAGCCTTTCCAGTCGTACCCCATGAGCCAACCACCGCACTTTGTGTAGACAAACATCAGTCTCAGGAATCTGTGTTGCTCTGAGCGTCACAAAAGGGCCTCTGCTATCATATTGCCCAACCCCACCAGAAGGTCTGTAAGTTGGTATTGAAGAAGGGGGGTGGGGCAGAGGGAGGGGGAGTGGTGGAAGAAGAAAGACTGAAACAGATAGACGGACAGACAGGGAGGGAGGGAAGCCCGGAATCCCAAAGCAGCCTTAGATTTTGCTTACCTGATTTGCTTTTCAGAGTAAAGACTCTGAGCAATGGTGCCATCTTGTGGTCATGAGGAGGAATTACAACCAGTCTCTCCCTCCCCGCACATCCCTCCCTCCCTCCTTCCCGTCATCCCTTTATCCCCCCCCACCTCTGTCTCTCTCTACTGGGTACATAAATAGATCACATAATGGGAAGTACTAATAAGTGTAAGGAAGAGAAATCTGGCAGGCGAATTGTAAGGCCATTTCAGGTAGTAATTGACCAGGCACAACTATTATTAAGCGGCTGACATTTGCTCAGAGGCCTGAAGGGGGCGACGGAGCAGGCCGAGTGCATATCCGAGGGAAGAAGGAATCGCCAAGTGTAAAGGATGCAAAGGCCTGAAGCCTCTGTGTGGATCTCCTCAGGGCTGTGGTTCTAGCAGAAGCAGCTTTAGGAGATGACGCACGAAATGACCTAGGGGTCTAGAGTCTAGGGGCTAAGAATAGATCTGACATGTATCCCTTCTCTGGCCAGCCCTGTTGTCAGCATCCAAAGATACCTTTAGAGAAATCCACCTGCCCAGGGCCCACAGAGCACGTGGGGTGGCCATGCTCTAGGTCCACAGTCAGGATCTTTTCTGGCTCCCATCCTTCCAAATCCAGAAGCTGACTTTCTCCCGCCAGATGGAGAAGCTTAATTAACATACAACAAGAAAATTACAATTTCTAGAGCCTCAAATAAAAGATGCCCCTAAAACTCCATAAAAATGGAACTGACCCCATTTCTTAGGGCTTCAGTTCTGCTTCCTTTTTTTTTTTAGAAACATTTAATTTTTTAAAAACAAAGTAATATATATTCATAGTTTAAAAGTCAATAGTATTACGATGTTCATAATAAAAAAGAGCATCCTTTCTACCTCCCAGTCCCCTACTCCAGAGGCAAGCACGTCTAGTCTTCCCCTATTTGAGAAGCTGACTTTTGATGTGAGAAATCCAACACGCTTCACTGTCTGGGCCGGTGTTTTCTTTCCCCAAATTGTTGGACTCCCTTATGTGGCCAATGGTGATCCCACGACTCTGCCTTTGCTTATATCAAACAGTCCAGATCTCCAGCTGAATGACATGTCCACTAAGAACGCAAAGGTGAAATAAAAAAAGAGCAGCTCTTTCTGAGAGAGAGAACGCCCAAGTGTTCGAGACCTGCCTACTGGCCAGTTCATGTTCCGGGCTGGCCTGCTCTGCCCCTTGCTCATTTCACAAATGGTGCACAGTGTCCAGGTGTGTTTTGCTCCATTTCCAGGTTAATAGAGCACAGTTTGCAGCTGTGCTTACAAAATATCACCTGGAACATTATTTGGGGGTAGGGCGTGGGTTGCTAAGCTTTTTTCTTTATTTCTGTAGGTTTATATTCTCTGTAGGCAGGGAGCCAGCTGCTTACAAGTAAAACTGCTCCAAACTAGATTGCTATCAGAGCCCATTTGGTTTTGCTTTTCCAGCATATGAGTCAACAAGGATGAGTCAGATGCTTCCTGAGTGGCCTCTGGGTAGATGAGGTGACTGTTTCATCAGGTTACTAGACTCAGAAGGTCAGAAATGCCCACAACAAGAAACCCTAGGACTTGATAGCTTTTTTTCAGTGTTTGCATTCACAGTCCTGTGCAGGGGCCCCAGTCTTTTCCCTGAGAGCCTTCGGTAGCCTGGGTGGCCAGGTCAAATGACTGCTACCAAAATAAAAAAACAAAACAAAACAAGACCCACGGGAATGTTACAAAACAGTGAATTTAGTCTTTTCATTTTTGTGGTTTTGGTGACTGCTTTATTTGGGTATGTTCTTGATGGTTGATGGTTTCAGAGGATTCTATCCAAGTGGAAGTCCTCTGATGAGAAAGTGTAAGTTGTTCCTTGTAACATTCCCCATGTTAGGGAACTTGGGCTGACTGCAGCTCCAAGCTCTTGCTCTGGGCTCTTCAGGGTCAGTGTCTTCTGCTCAGGTAAGTTTGGCAGATTTGCTTTGCTTTTAATAAGTTTGTTTAATAAGTTTGTTCAGGTAATACTGTCTTGTTACAGAGCTACCCAGGGGGCATCTGACTGGGTCTGGGGAAAGGCCCTGGGAGACGCTTCCTCTCTGAGCCTGTACCTCGGCCTGTGCGTAGGGAAGGCAGGTTGGTCACTGCTGCCTCGAAGCTAACCCAGCCTTACCTGGATCAGAAGCTATAATAGACTCACTTAGAGTAAAATCACTGGCTACCAGGGCAAAGCAGGACTTAGCTGTCTTCTCCCTGCCACAAGAAACAGGCCTGCCACTGCTACCTCTCCAGTGGGAGTGAGGGTGACGTTTGCCTCTGTGTGGTTTTCAGTTTTAGGAAGATGGAGGTTGGGAGCTGGGGGCACGGGGAGGCCTGGCAATTTTCACAAGGGCTTAGAGCAGGATTCTTGGGTGCTGCCCACAGGACTAAACCATGGCAACATTTCATGAGGCCACTTTGCCGAACGTATTATGCCCAGGTCCGTCCTGGCTTATTGTTAGTTATCAGTTACTGTTAAATTTTAAGATTACCCTTTTTCATTCTTAAAAATGTCCTGCTTTGAAGGATAAATGACGTGGCCACCCAATATTTGGGGTACCTTTGGGGAATGTATCCTAAGAATGTGTACAAAGATGTAGCTTCCAGAGATGTTTATCACAGGGCTACTAGGCACGAAGAAAAGTTAGAGATACATTATGTATCTACAATAAAGAGATACATTATGTATCTACAATAAAGAGATACATTATGTATCTACAATAATCCTACAATAAAGGATTAACTAAATTAGTTAAATAAATTATAGTACATCCACATAGTGGAATGCTAGGCAGCCATTAAAAAATGAAATGTAACAAAATAGTAAATAGCATAGAAATACATGCATACTATTAAGGAAAATTACTAAACACTATATATGTCTATATAAACATATATGGTATTATTCAAACCTAGTTTACAAAGAAAAGGAAACATATGCACTTAAAAGGACTAGATACACAACACTGTAAAGCAATTATACTCCAATAATGATGTTAAAAAATAAAAATAAAATAAAATAAGGACTGGATGAATACACAATAAATTGGTGGTGGTTATCTCTGGGAAGTGGGGTTAGAAGTGGCTTCTATATTCTCCCTTATGCTTTTCCTGTGCTTCTAAATTTTCTACAATGAGCATATATGTTGTCGCAGAATGATGACCAGAGATGTCTACATCCTAATGCTCTGAGTCTGTGACTACGTTAGGTTACATGACAAAAGGGAATTAAGTTTGCATATGGAACTCTCACTGCTAATCAGCTGACCTGGAGAAGGTGAGAGCAGCTGGGATAACCCAGGTGGGCCCAATGTCATCACAGGGATCTTTACATGTGGAAGAGGGAGGCAGAACACTGATGCCCTGGGAGAAAGTCTCCACCAGCTATTGAAGACGGGAGGGAGCCAGAAGCCCAGAAAAGCCGGTGACCCCCAGAAGCTGGAAAAGGCAAGAGAACCGGTTCTCTCCTAGAGCCTCCAGAAAAGGAACTTGGCCCTGCTGACACCTTGCTTTGAGCCCAGTGAGTCTTATTTTGGACTTCTGACACCCAAAACTTTAAGATGATAAACTTGTGGTGTTTTAATCTGCTAGGTTTTTGTGGAAGTTGGTTACAGCAGCAATAGGATTTTAATAAAACAAATTTCTCTTTTAGTCAGAAAAAAAGAGATGATGATAATAAAAGTCATTTTAGAAGAAAGGATTAGAAATCGCTCCTTGTAATTTAACCCAACAGCCATCCGAGGAGGAGCTAGGAGGAGGCCTGGCACAGTCTTCTTCCTACAAAAAATCTGCAGGAGGTGCCCATAGGCACAGCTGGCTGTTGTTTTGTTATTAGTAGAAAATAATAATGCGAGGGTTATAACTAGATAACCCAAATGGCCAGCAGCCTGGGAATTGTCCTACAGCAGGGCACAGTGAATTGCACGAAATCAGGCAAGAGCAACAAGTACTAGGGGTCCAGAGAGGGAGAACTCTGGGACTAAGCAAGGAAACCAGACTTGAAAGGAACCCCTTTTCAAGTGAGTGGAAACTGCCAGGTGGTTCTGCTGGTGTGTGCTGGCAAATCCCATCCTGGCACCAAGGGACAGAAGAGACGTGATGGGCACGGCTCATGGGGAGGTTTTCCAGCCCCACCCAGGGGCGCGTGTGTGCAGTCTTGCCCATTCTGGACTGTTCACTGAAGCACGCTCATGGTGGGGAGTTGCAGAGGATTCTCTCTTAGATAAAATCCTTCCCTGTTTGCTTTAAAGGAACTTTTAAGGAAACGCCCAGACCCTTAGTAAAGGCTGCAGTGAAGAAGGCATCTGTAAATGGAAACGGCATTTTGTTTTTCTTTGTTAGTGGGTCCAAAACCACCTCCCTTTCTGGAACAGATAGGACTCTGTGGAGGTGGGTGCCAAGCTGGGCTCATACGCTCCACAGGACACTGCCTCAGCCCTGGACATGGGACGTGGTACTTCCTCTCCGAGTCGGGCCCCCAGGCCTTCTTCACCTGCCCTTCGCTGTCCAGGAGGCTCGGTCAGCCAGCACAAGTGCTGAACATTCATGATCCACTTGGTCAGTGGGGCTTCATTTTATTTGCTCAAGCCATACCTGCCACAAATTCCAGAAGGTGACGCCTTTTCCTAGTATTTCAGAATTTGATGAGCAAGTGGTTTATTTTATTCATGCTATTCACTATTTCATATATATGTTAAAAAAACCTTAATATATCATACATGCAAAATGATACATGTTACGTATATATAACCACACTTGAATACCCACCCCCACCCCCACCCCCGACCTCTTAGGAAACTTACTGGTACCTTTGAAGTCCCCTGTGGTCCCCTCTCTCCCAGAGGTAGCCCCGGGGATCACAGTCTTGAATTTCAGTGTGTCATTCTTTGGTTTTCTTTACAGTGTTACCACATTAGTATGCGTGCCTATACAACATGCTATTTGCTTTTGCTAGTTTTAAAAAATCATGTAAATGGAATGCACTGTATTCTCCTTCTGTGATGCTTTCTTTTCACTCAGTATTGTGTTTTTGGTACGCAGCCCTGCTGTGGTGTGTCGTCTTACCTCTCAGGCAGTCCCTCCTTAGCCTTCATCTTTCCCGTGACCCTGCAGCCTGAAGGGCCGTGGGCTTTGGGTTTGTCTTTGCCTGGTAGTCCCGTTGGAGACCCCCCTTTCTTTCTAATTATGCTCCTCTTGCTTCCTCCTTGCCACCTTCGACCGTAACCTCCTTCAAGTGCAAAGACCATCCCCACCACACACCCAGGCATGTGCACCCACGCACAGGGTTTTTGTGCCTTTGTGACAAATAACACAGCCATAACGCTCACGTGGAGGGGGTTTAATGATTGTGACTCTTTTACTTTGCTGAAGTCTGGACCCTGGCAACAGAAATGTGTTTTTCTTCCTATTTTAGGAAAGTGAAGCTTGCTTGTACTGCTCTTGGACTAGGCAGGCCATGCTTTGCAAATGTTAGTGAGCACAAGAATTACCTGGGGGTAGGGATGGGAGCTTGTTAACAAGGAGTATTTCTGGACCCAGTTCCCTAGAGGTTCAGAGCCCAATTGTCTGGGGTGGGGCCCAGGAATCTGCATGTTAGTAAACATGCCTCTCTCTGCCCAGCAATTCTGATGCAGACTATCTTTGGCCACTCCTTTGGCAAACACTGGCCCCTGTGCCAGCCAGAATCAGGGGCGCTTGACTAGCCCTGCGCGGGGCGTTCTGTGGGCCTGGGGCCTGCTGGGAGCAGCCTGAGATGGACCCACGGAGAGGCAGGCAGGTGTTCGTGAGCCAGGCCTTTCACGCCACGCCAAGGGAGGGTTTAGCAGCGTGTGCCCTGGTCCTGCACCTTGGGAAGATCATCTAGTTGCTGTGTGGAGGGGTTAGGGCTGGAATCAGGGCACCAGTTAGGAACCTGTCCGGAAAATGACCTTGAAGTCATGACTGACAAGTCAGACAAAGCTGAGGGAGACACCAGGGTTCAATGGGGCAGCATTTTAGTGTCTATAAGGATGTATGGTCCTGAGAACCTGGAGAAATATGTTAAGAATGACACTCAAAGTTCTAGAGATAGGAGAAGACATTTATCCTATCTAGAGAGCCAGGGAAATGCAAAGTCCAATCCAGTGACAAAGCCCACTGGATGTACTCTAACTTGAAATCCTAAGCAGCGGTGACACACCTCTAAGGCAGGAAGGCCACCTCTCCTAGCTTACAGTGACCCTGCAGAGGAAGATACATAGGGTTGAGGTGTCCTTTCAGTTACTCACAAGAATCTAGGCAGAGCCTGGCCAAAATCTGGTCTATAGATGTCTGAGAAGCAATTTTTCCCTAAGTAAAGTGTTTCCAAACTTCTAAGATAAACCTGGGGCTTTTATGATCATGCAGATTACCTAGTCTTCTCCATGGAAATGCAGATTCATTGGATCTGGGTTGGAGCCTAGGAATCTGTATATTTAAGAAATGCCCCACATGGTTCTCATTTTCTGGGAAGTCTGGAAAATCCCACCATCTGGGAAAACTTCTTTCAGCCCAGGAAGATTTATAACCAAGTATAGAAATGATTTAAAGGTAAACCTATAGTATTGATTCTTTTGTTCTAAGAATACCCTATGCACATCTGGCATTTTTAAGTACTTGTAATGTCAAAGAGAATTTGCTCTATTAGGGGAAGGGTGAGACTTATAATTCAGATTTTAAAGTGTAATTGAGTAAATGAGTTAGACTTATGATTTTGAGTTGAAAGTTTAATAAATTTATGTGTGGTGTTGAAAGTTAGGAAAACCTAAATTGTTACTATATTTATCCATTTAACTTACTAGATTTATATGTTTTTCAAAAGTTCTTGGTAAGATTTTGTTTGTGCAGACAATTGAGGAACTTAAGAAAAAATTGCATATGTTAAATTTATAAATGTTTGAATGTGTTAAATTAATGATGCTTATAAAGTAGACCAAATATTAACCAAGTAACTACTAGCCAAAGAAATCCTTAAAGATGTTTGTTATAGTTTTGTTTACTAAATTTATAAATAGGGAAAAATATTTTAAGAACTTAAAAGCTAAAGGAAGATTTTTAACAGATGAATGGATAAACAATGTAATAAACATAGGAGTGCACAGATATTTTCAAATCAGTGTTTTCGTTTTCTTCAGATAAAAACCAAGGAGTAGGGCTTCCCTGGTGGCGCAGTGGTTGAGAGTCTGCCTGCTGATGCTAGGGGACATGGGTTCATGCCCCGGTCCGGGAAGATCCCACATGCCGCGGAGCGGCTGGGCCCGTGAGTCATGGTCGCTGAGCCTGTGCGACCGGAGCCTGTGCTCCGCAACGGGAGAGGCCACAACGGTGAGAGGCCCATGTACCGCAAAAAAAAAAAAACCCAAAGAGTGGCATTGCCAGGTCATATGGTAGTTCTATTTTTAGTTTTTTGAGAAACCTCCATGCTGTCTTCCCACCAACAGTGCACGAGAGTTCTCGTTTCTCCATGACCTCGACAACACTTGGTTATATTTTTGATGCTAGCCATTCTGACAGGTGTGAGGTCATGTCTCATTGTGGTTTGGGTTTGCACTTTCCTGATGAGCATCTCTTCATGTGCCTGTTAGCCATCTGTATGTCTTCTTTGGAAAGAATGCCTATTCTCCTCAGGAGTTCTTGATTTCCATTCTCCCAGTATTGATCACATCCCAGCTGTGCTGAGGCATCCTGCCCTTCATTGGATGATGCAGAACAGGTGCCTTATTGGTGAATCAGCCCTCAGGCCAGGGCTGCCCTAAAGGAGGCATCAGTGGAGGCTTTGTCTGGCCTCAGACCTCTGCTACTTGGAAAGGGAAGGCAGCCCCGGTCGGAACGGGCCTCCACACGGCCATTCTTCCTCTTGGTTTCCCTCTCTTGCTTGATGGCTGGAATAGAAGCTCCTCAGAGGCCAGGCCCCAGCCCTTGTCCACAATCAGGTCTCAGGTCCAACTCCACGTCTGGCCTGGCTCCCAGGCCCTGGGACAGGGTGGTGAGTGTGGAGGGACTGTCCAGCTCCTCGTGCAGGGAGAACAGGGCCTGCCACCCTCTTGCTGTCAGGGAGCCCCAGGTTAAGGGGTCCACCCAGGAGTGGGTGGCACATGGCTGTACCCCTGTGGGGATGGGGCCGGCCTCATCCCCACACATTGCACACCAGCATCTTGTTCAGAGCCCTTTGGGGGCCCCCGGACAAGGAAATGAAGCAGGGGGTTAGGTTCCTGGGGCCAGTTGCTAGATGAATAAGCGGGGAAGGTGAGGAGGAAGTAAGGGGGTGAGAAAGGCCTCTGGAAAACAGGTGCTTCCTGTTCCTACCAGGAAGCACATCTCCTGCTGGATTCAGGCCCCTGGATGGTAGAGAGTGACACTTGTGACATCTACTGCCTGCTGTTGCTGCAGGCTGCCCCTGTGCCTTTAATCATGTTGAAGTCTTGAAAGAGCCCTGCAGGGGGGAAGAACACCCTTCCTCTTCCAACATTTCTGCCAAAACATCAATGCCTCAGAGACCCTGCA